ACGGTCATATTCGTGGCTTCCTGTTGTGCCCAAACCTTTACGTCGCGGCATCATGGTCATCTGCCACGACGCTCCTATAGCAGGTAATCTAGGACAGCATCTAACATTAGAAAATATCGAAAGGAGATTCTGGTTGCTTCATGTCAAAACGGATATTGAACATCTCTTCATTTCTTGCACAACGTGTGAGATGCGAAAAACACCGCCGCACCCCATGAAATTGGAGCTTCAACGAAATCATCCTTATAGGAATCTATCACGTCGGTTCATTTCCAAAGACGGAGTCGGGCAGTAGATACATGATTGTTGCGACCGACTACCTAACAAAGTGGGTGGAGGTTGCAGTATAGTCCCTGCTATGGGAGCCACCCACCTCGTGGGTGGCTCCCATAACCTGTGCTACGCCATGGATCTCCACGCCTGGTAAATTCTAATCGAGGAACGCCGTTAATGTCCAGACTGTTCAAACGACCACTGCAGGAGCCCTAATCTACACGGCTGGACCAAGGAACCGGGTCATAGCCGCCTGCTGCGTTAGGTCAGCGGTGCGGACCTGGCCAATCACAGCAAGTGGCAATGTCCCGGCCCCTTGGTCCCGCCGTGTTGATTAGGGCCCCGGGACTATAGAGTTGGACACGAATTAGCATTCCCATAATATCCCCAGATGAATGGGCTCGCAAAACGAACGAATCGCAACCTCGGCGATAGACATTCAGCCTATGTGAATACAACACATAGAGATTGTGATGAATATGTCGGTACAGCTGCGTTCACATTGAACACCTTCCGCCAAGAAGCTACCTGTCAGGCACCGTTTGAGCCGGTGTACGGCAGACTTGCTAGTCTTCCTAAAGAACGTATACGATGGACGCTACGTGGACCCGTCGGGGCCAAGAGCTCGCCAACGGCTTCGTCCGCCGATTGAAGGAGGCCCAAGGACAAGCCCGCCTTGCAGTTCTGCACAAACTGTCCAAACTTGCCGAGTGCTTGTGTACCGACGCCGCCGCACCGTTATTTCAGACAGGCGACGTGTTACTAGTGCGAAGGCAGATCCGTCAGCCACACCTGTCGGAGAAGCTCTTGCCGTGCTACTGTGGAACCTTCCAGAAAAAAAAAAAGAAACAAGAACTTGGAGCTGTCACCTACCCACTGGAAGAACTCTCGGTGCAATGTCGACGAAAGCGTAAACAAGTGTTTCCCACTCATGCCAGTCAGCTGAAGCTATAGACCTTTTCATCCTCCGTCGTATGGGCGCTGCCATCTTGGAATCACGTGACACGGCCACCATTATAGGTTGCTTTCGACTCACTGCTCCACTCTTCCCTGTGCACCCAGTTGGCAGATGCGTTGTATACTCGTGTTTTTCGTCGCGTTTCACAGCGTTTTCTGGCCTTACTATAAAGTGTGGTATCTACTAAATTGCATTACATCATAATGTGCGCAACGTCTGCAGTTAATTTTGTAGCACGATTTGATTATTTTCAACTTCGGCGTACCGAATGCGTGTGAGGATGAGGCCCGGGAATTAGCGCTAGCTTTGGGCCACATTGATTATGTAGATGACTAATATATCAGGAGTGTTCAAATGTCAATTACCTATGGCAACTCAGGTTTGTTTGCAAATAGTGGCGGAACGTTCACAATAAGAATCGCGTAATCGCGCATTTACGATCGGAAGGTGCTAGTCAGCGCAAGGAAGTTATCTGTTTCCTGAAAGCATCGTCTTCTGTATTCATAATACATCGTAAATAGTTTTTGTCATTGCGTAAGGGAACTCGTAGAGGAGATAGGCAACAAACCCTGAGCTTGTATTTTATCTGAGGCTATAGGGATAACAGTACGTCAGCGTAAGGCGATTTGTTTGTTCATAATATCTCACCTACATGCGTATGCCGTTCTCAGTCGTTTTTGCGATATAAACATTCGGTTGGTAAGTTTACTTGCGAAGTTCAAGAAATTGTTTACCATTCTCGGTCTCATTTCGGTATTCTTGCAAGTAATCTATTGATTCTATTTAGGTAACAAATTGAATCCCCTTTATCTATGTCGACACACAGGTTGGGACTTCCCGCAAAAGAAACCACCACGGACAGCCTAAAGGGATACTTAAGCGAAATATGAAATATACCTGTCGTGTTCAGAAATAGGCTGAATATGGTCCACAATATCCGTGAATGACAATCGCACGTTTGTATTTTGAGCCTGATGGCTGTATTATTCGTTATATACGGCCCACTCTGGCAAGCGCTCGGGGAGCAACCAGCGAAGAGCACGTGACATCCGGCGCAATCGTGACGTACATTGTCTCGGGACGAGCGAAGCGGCGGCGAGGCTGACGTCCACAGGATGTCCTAGCCGTTCCAGCCACTGAAGCGGCCGAAGCGCACCAGCGATCGGGCCACCGCAACTAACCCCAAAGCTGCTTTTGTACGAACTTTGAGTGACGGGTTCATCTTCTATAACCTTGTCGAGGGAGAATACCGACGTCTGGGACAAACAAAAGAGGGTCCCGGTGAGAGGGGAGTTCCTCCTTCCCCTCTTTTCTCCTGGTGGCCGGAGGCGAGACGGGCATCGCCACTACCTGTCAAGGTTCCTAGACGGGCTTTACAAACGAGGCTTTAGCGACATCCACCAGGTTTTCTTTGCTAATCGTTTAATTCGTTTTAAAATTTCTTGGTCTATTCATGGTCAACGGAGCAGTATTCCATCAGACACAAATCTCTTGTTGAAAAATACAAAAGAAAAAACGAATTAAACGATTAGCAAAGAGCAGCTGGTGGACGTCGCTGACGCCTTGTTTGTAATGCCCCTCTAGGAACCTTGACAGGTAGTGACGATAACTGTCTCGCCTACGGCCACCATGAGAGAAGAGGGGAAGGAGGAACTCCCCGAGGCTCTCTTTTGTGTGCCTTAGACGTCGCTATTGTCCCCCTAAAAGATTATAGAAATTTAACCCTTAAATCAAAATTCGTACAAAAGCAGTTTTGGAGTTAGTTGGGGTGGCCCGATCGCTGGCGAGCTTCGGTCGCTTCGGTGGCCGGAACGGCTTGGACATCCTCTCGACGTCAGCTTCGCCGCAGCTCTGCTCGTCCCGAGACAATCTACGTCACGATTGCGGCGGATGTCACCTGCTCTCCGCTGGCTGCTCTCCGAGCGCTTGCCAGGGTGGGCCGTTTATAACGAATAATATAGCCATCTCACGCCAGTGCCTAGATATCGTAGTATTTGACCCCCCCCCCCCCCCCCCAAAAAAAAAAAAAAAAAAAGGCATCTGCATAAAAATTACCCGAGTCCAGCGTTTATCGATGGCGAATATGGGGTTACTTCCAATGGCTGGCGACGCTGACATTTAGAGAGCGTATCTGTTCAAACAATTCAAATTTGTTCACACAGGTCCATGAAGTTACGTCTATCGTTAGATTTCAGCCAAACTTTCCAAGTTTGGCTCCTAGCTTCCTTTAATGTTATTTTCCCAATTGCATGGAAAACTAATATCAGACTAATTCGACGGGCCTGTCACTTTTATCTTGAGCAAGCAAATCTTCATGTAAAAATAGTTTATTTCCTAGGGCTAATATTGTGAAATGCTGTACATAAGTACTTTAACAAGGTTGATATTAGAAAGAAACTTCCTATTCGGTCTAGGACGAACAGTCAAAATAATTCTCGAGTACATTTTTTAATTTTTTTTATGAAACAGGCCGAGACAACAATTCTTGATTTTATCTATTCTCCGCGTCCTTAAAGGATACTTTTTTAGTCTGCGAAGTTCACTAAAAGTTACGTGCTCACGAAAACCAAACAGTAACTAGTAAACTTGTGAGTTCATCTTTTCTTCCCGATTCACATTCACATTCATGTATCAGTTTCTACATTAGTTTATTCTTCTGGAAACTAATCTCGTCGGATACGGCCTTAGACAATGGTAATCTTTTCTGTATATCAGTGCAGCCCTTTCGCCACCGTCCATAATCAGACACATCAAAGTTTGTAAAACAACCTGCACGTTGGATTCAAAACCACCTCATAGTTCTCAAAGTGGCTCAGTACCACTGTTTCATTGGGTGTGCGCTACAAGAAAAACATTTGTATCAGAAAATTCAGCAAAAACTACACATAACAGAAACACAGCAGCGTGCACATTGGAACCGAAACCAACCAAATTGAAGCAACCTAATGGTGGTGAGTGCGTCAGCGCCCTCTCTCCGCCGGTCAGGCAAGTACCGAGATGCAAGTGGTCCATACCTATACGTCACCCGAACAGACTATCTCGCCCTAAATGTTCATGCAGAAAAGAAGGACGAATAGTGGAAAGAAGTATGAACGTGTGGCAGGATCTGTATAGGCGAAAGCGAGGGTTTTCAACAATATATATGACGACGATGTACGCATTCCATGATATTATACACTGTAATTAATACTTTAATTCAACCGCACAACCACGATTCAACGTTTAAGGTTGCGGCGCAAAGTTTTACCAATCACGGGTCTTTTAGGCGATCTGCCTCATTTCGTGACAACCTTTCGATCGAGGTACAATATATGTGACTGAAGTAAATAAATGAATATTGAGTTGTATAAGCACAACGTTTTTTCTGTTAATTTAAATGTTTGTATTGTTGCGTTAAAAATAAATAACGCACTTTTTAATTACTGGTACCTGAATATATAATTGTATCGTACAAAAGACAAAAAACAAAACAAAAAAACAGCTATATAGCTATTTATTTTACAGCGGAAATAGTGCCTACTGCCTGAACAAAGCGAAAAATACATTCTCACTTTAGCGGCTCAAACCGGTTTGAACCGTTATTTTTGCACTCCGAAACAGAACCGGACCTGAACCGAAAGCCGTGAACCGGAACCCGAACCGATAAAAATTTCGGTTCAACCCTATGATTCTGGGCGCGAATAAACCACACGCAACACATGTATTTGTGGCCGGAGCCCCCGAAATCAGAAGACCTTAGCTTCGATTTCGGAACGCTCCGAAGAAAACGTTTTTTTTTTTTTTTTTTTCATTCAGTTTTTTTTTATTTCACAACAGCGAATATTTTTCAAGAGACTGTAACATCAGCACGTTTGTCACGTTTTTTTTTTTCATGGTTGGTTGTTTGTTTGCACGCATACTTGGCTTGAAATGTTCATGCGCAGCTTGCGATCATCATCATCGAACACCGGCAGATTTGTTTGTATATAGATATCCATGTATAGATATATACTATATTGGTACGATGTGAAACGCTTCACCACGATAGAAATATATGTCAACAAATGGGAGCCACCCATAGAAAATATATATATATATATTACTCTTTGTCAACAAAGTTCATTTTCTTTTTCTTAAGGTCTGAGGTCTTGTCTTCTGTTTGCGTTTGTGTATATATAGATATATTTATAATATGTTTATAAAAAGAAAAAAAATGGTCGTACAGTAAAAATAACACAGATGGACTTGATTCAAAGAGAGCGGGGACAACAATGAAGCGATGCACGACGAGGGAGAGGAACACCCTTGGAGTAACATCCCGCGATATCCTGTTCACACACCAACAAAATGTTCGTCGAACAACGCGGCAGTCAACTTGATTGAACCTGTGTCGGGGCCCCGTTCACACTTGCGGTACGGTTTGCCGGATTTTGCGATTTGCCTTCTCGACTGATTGCACCCAACGCTTGGTTGTCAGCAAAGACATCAATGCTGCGATATGTTGAACAAATGTATAATTCGTGTTGCGTTCTTTTTTTCTTTTCACGGACACGTAACTATATCTCCCATATACATTCATACTTGTGGTGGCTCTGCTTCTCCGTGCTTGCGGTTTTCATACTGATATGATTGCGCAGAGCGCCCAACTACCTGCGAAGAGTTTACACTGCTCACTGCAGGAGCAATGTACGGCTCTCATACGTACAGGATTAGTCACGATCGATCAAATCGACGGGCAACACTACTGTTCACATCGGTAGACCTCTCAATGGCAGAGAACAAGACGGATTTGCGTTTTCTCTCACATCAATATACTTCCACATATCGCCTAAGGCGAATATACTGGTCATTTCTAATTTAATCTCTACAAGGGAAGATCACGTGAACATGTCTATGTAAGGCACGTTCACACCTACGGTTGATTGCCGCGTGAAGCCCTGCATCTGGGGTTTTCTTGGCAACGAATCGTCCTTCCGCAAACGTTACACTACTGGTCGTCTTCGAACTGAACTTCAGGAAGGACGTGTGAACAGATTCAAAAGGCACCTTCACACTTGCGGTGCCGCAATACCGCAGGAAGAGACGACAACACTTACGGCCAACCTCGTCCAAACTTAGCGTTGCCATCGTCACGTTTTCTTTCTATATTTCTTATCCACTAATAACACTAAATTGTTCACTTCCTTGGAAGGGCAACGAACCCTTCTATACATACTCCAACCAAATCGAGCTGCAGAAAAACAAAAATGCAAACAAAGCGAGCTACAAGACACCTTACAGCAGTTTGCAATCCAGATTTCATTCGTATGTACACAAAAAATAATGACCTTTCCCGGCAGTGTCGCAGTACTGCAACTGTGAAGGGACCACGTCACTGGCTGTACTCTGCCGCGCAACCACATTTCCTCTGTACAGTGCACAAATGCGCACGATGACGAGAAGTCTTAATTGTCAGGAGCTTGGTTTAGTCCTGATGTCTAGAAAAACCAACTGTGAAGAACGCAGACACTGCACACCAATCCGACAAAAAATAAATAAAAAAGAACATAGCTTTTTTTACCAGGAAACAGATAGAGATAAGGAAAGTGCGTGAACGCTTCGTCATAGTTTCACGTGGCACCACGTATAGCCTGGAAGCGAGAACCACTTGGGCCTTAGAATTTGGGTCTCATGTTTGTTTCTTTCTGACAAAATAGCTTTGTGTGCAAAGCGTAAACTACATACATCTTTGTGTGTGATAAATACGAACAAAAGAGTTTCTAGATGCCTATTAACGTTTGCAAGTACAGCCTCTTGCGGCTGGGGTGTGGTACATCGCCTGGTGATTAAGCCTTGCTAAGGCGTGCCCAGAGTTGGCAGACTGGCGTCCAAACAAAGCATCCTTCATCCTTGGAGGCCAGGCTGGCGCTTGAAGCGTGCCTGCTTGCAAACCTCTGCATGCCTACTCCAAAAGGCCGTTTCATAAGGTGCGAATTTTCGAAAGAAGGTGCATCTTGGCAACGCAGCAAGGATGCACATGGCGCACACTTTTGCGAGATACCGCAAGGGTGATGATGATAATGCTGCTCGTGCGACGTCCCAAATACACGTATTTCGGAGAACTTGCACCACTTGAAGCGTCCATTATTCAAGGAGTGCGGCACGGTGCGAAATCATTTCGAGAACAACTCTGGGCAAGACCATTGACACAGCATGCAGTAATAAGTGCTAACCATACTTTTTTTTTTTCCTCAAGAAAACGCTCTAATTTCCTGCAAACCAATAATTTGACCCAAGTTTTCAGCATGCCGCTTCCAAAGTATTTGGCACAACGGGATATACCACCAAGCGTGTGTAAAACGACTCAAAAGACCACCATCTTTACACAATAGTTACGAACCCCTTTTCGAGGAACAAACACGGTGCTCTACGATTCTTTCTTTTGTTACACGACGCCCAAGTCCCAGAAAGCGAACAATCAACACGGCCTGCCGACATGACAAGAGCAGCTTTACGGCTACCCAATGAATTCATCTGACAACTGGTTTGTTGGACCAGCGCCTTCAATAAAAGTTACACTGTGCCTGTCAACTCTGCTTCCCAATGACGTGCGCTTGAAGTAGAGCTGCCCCTCGTAGCATGAGCTATGGGTAAGTGGCGCCACTTAACTGTCACAAAGCCAATTAAAAGCAGTCGAAAGCAGGAAAGTCGGTGCAACGCGAGCTTTCGGTCTCCTGCTTCAGCGGCGTTTTTACGATTTCTCAGTCATGTGTAAAGACGCGCTATGAAAACTGCTCTTCTGACATACTTTTAATACACGGTACACCCACAGGCGGGTCTAACGTCACGCGCCGCACCCGCACTTGGTATGGACAAACGCTGATTTGTTTGTAAACGGTGTGTGGGTCTGTAGGATTTCCTATTAGAAACCATAGAAAGGGCCGTTAACAGGACAGTGACTTTGCTGCTTGCTGCAAAGAGAAGGGTAGCCTTCTCCACACGACATATATTATGTCCTACCTGGCGCCACCAGACGGGAGTCATACGCACTTATTTGCTCGCTATCTTCGCGAAATGCCCGCTTGGAGCGGACAGGCATAGTGCACCTTTCTTGAGGGGCTCGGATTTGACGCGTCTGCAAGTACTAGATGTAACGCCACCATTTTAAGCGACCAAGGTAGAGCATTTGCGATGTTCACAATATCTGCTTCCGCCTGCACTGCTGAGCTGCTGCACGAGTTGTCGAGAATTGTTGCTCAACCAGATTTATCTGCTGGAGATACTGGGAAATGCGGGATTGATCTCAGTGAAACAAATTAGGATTTCCAACTCCGACTAATCTTGAGAGTAACAAGCCCCCTACCTGTGTATCACCGTAAGCACATTGTTACTTACGCATTTGTCATGGTGTCATTTTGAACTGATAAAAAAAAAAAAAAAAAAAAACAAAGCACGGATGATGTTTGGCTTGAGTAGGGGATAGTTGGTAACGCAACTTGATCAATACTGTGCTGCTCGATGTATTTGTTTAGGTTTGGCAACCAACGAAAGGTAGCTATGTAAGTGAATTTCAGAACTGAGCAACTCGGAAACTTTCTTTCGAATGGCAGTGCTGAAAACGAATTGCATATTTGCGCTTGCACAGTGAAGTGACATTTTCCAAAGAAAAATTAAAACAGGATACATTACGCTATTCCAATTCTTAGCTGAACCAAATCTTGAGGCAGGTCATCATTCTTCACATGCGCGATCACAAACCAAGCTTAAGAATGTGCCATCGGATGATAGCAGCAAGGGCTGTAGGTGGCAGTTCCCTCGAAATGTCCGACCCGCTTCAGAAATAATATAAATAAAACAGACGAGAAGGTAACAACTGCGAGCAGTATCACGGGCTCAAATGTTCGACCAACAGATGCCGATGACATGGACCACCATCATCATCATCACAAGCAGTGTCGTCATCGACATCATCATCGTCATCGCTTGAGAGAGAGGGAAGGGCGGGAAAAGATTGAAGACAGAGTGGTTGGTTGAGGAGCACCTGGGCATGCATGCGATATTTCGTCCTGGGGAAGCGAACTTGCATAGTCACAACTCCCGCACGACATAAACTACAACGGCAACAACGAAGACGCGAAACAAAAATATATATATATATTTGCGAAAACAAAGGAAGAACCTAAAAACAAAACACCGACGCAGTGGTGACGTCACGAGAAAGCTGCGCCAGATTGTCGGTCCGGGAGTGATTTTTTTGTTTTCGATTGTAATACGGACCAGAGGCGGCGCTACGATCGCTTGCGCGCCACGTCTTCGCCACTGATAGGTCCACCGATCGCATCTAGTAAATCGGGCATATAGGTGCAACATCACACCAAACGCCTGCACGCGCTTGCGAACAGACAATATCATACGCGGCTGATATGAACAACACAAGATGTCACTTCAACGAGATCTCAGTAAATTGTGAGTCCTACCACTTGCGGCGACAAATGGCACCGCCAGTGCATCGGTCACAAACCGTTGTCTCCAAACCGAACGTCGTCTGCCATCGAACCGTTCTCGTCTGCTGACACTCCCTCACTGCTTCATCTTCCAAGACCAACCGTGACACAAACAATGTCGAGGGGCTCATCGTATCTGATAATCATAAACGCACGACCCCCTCTTCCGATATCCGAACATGCATGCACCTCACTCATGAAAGAACAGAAAGAAAACGATCAAAAGGTTTGGCGTCGCCTTGAGCTTTCTTCCAAAACTGCTCGATGCTAAAGTTTGGCTCTCCGCCCGCTTGGAGCGCTGCGGAACAATCCGATATTCGTGACGTAAATGAGCAGCTTGTCCTTGAAAAGTACCGGGATTCGAACCCCGCGAGGAATCAGTCTCTCCAGTCCTCAACATCCCCAGAATACACACATACACACACACATACACGAAGGAAATAAAACACTCGCAAGATGGCACCGGAAAACCCACCCGCGGCCAAGTTCGTGAAAGTCCCCTCAGAGGGCACTCCTAGCCGAGTTTTCCAGACGCTGCGGCGGTTGTGATGGTGGCGAAAATGCGGTCGACGTGGCGCTGCGATCGCATGTTGCGCCAGCGGCGGGGTGCATAGCTGTGCGGGGCCGGGCGGCTAAGCTCGGCTTGCGACGGCGGGCGACGCCGTCTTGTGTTCAGGGCGCACTTCCGTCGCTGACCGAGAGGTCGTCTTCCTTGAGGTCGTCGTCGTCTTCGAGATCGTCGTCGTCGTCGTCGTGCAGCGGCAATTCGGCGGGGCAGAACTGGTAGGGCTTGGGGTCGCCACGGATGTCGCAGATCACATTCGTCAGCGCCATTATATAGTTCTTAGCGAGCGTCAACGTCTCGATCTTGGACAGCTTCCTCTCCATCGCAACGTGAGGGATGACTTCGCGTAGCGCCTGCGAAATTGAAACACGAGGTTACGCTTACAGCAGATTGGGGATGGCTGAACGAACGTATAATTACATCTGGAGCTACTAAACAGGCTACGCTCAGAGTATCGGCACCCCCTCCCCTCCCCTCCCCACCTCCCGTTTCCCGAATTTCCCGTGTGCGCCGCCATTTTTGATCTTTAGTGCAAAAGGGGCGCAATTAGCAAATGTTACAATTTGAAAACGTGACTTCCCGAGGTTTAGAGACGGCGTTAGGAAGCTCAATCGATATCGGTTCGCCCTGTCGTGAACTATTTTAAAATTTCGGGATGGGGGAAACACCGCTCCCTGCGATTTCAAATGACGCTTCGGGTACTGGCAACCACGATTTTAAGCACCAAGATGGCTGAGGTGTCGTTACACTAAAGTGTAGCTCAGTTAGTCGCTCTATAGTTACACTTACATCCGAGCCGGACGGACAGATTAATGGACAGTTGCATTAATTTAAGCCGGGCTGTGACTTTCGCCACCTAGAGGTTATGTATACGAGTTTCCTACTTTCCCCAAGCACGCCATCTAGCGGTGCCACCTTTCCCCAGCCGCCATGTTTGGGTAACGATACCCGGTGACCGTAACAGATGGAAAAATGAATATATATAGTCGCATTGATTTGAACCGGGCGACGATTTGCGCCACCTAGAGGTTGTTTTTGACTTCTCGGCTTTCCCGAAGCATGCCACCTAGCGGTGTCGCCCTTTACCAGCCGCCATGGTTGGATAGCGGTATCCGTTGACCGTAACCTGGTCACTGGAATTATATGCTAAATCTTGAAGTGTGCTTTCATATAGGTCCCATTTCTTCTGGTAAACTTAACTTGCTTGAAGTTCTCCAGAGCCTTCAAAGCTAATTTGAAAAGTCCCTGGTTTGAACATACTTCTGCATGTCCTATCTTTGCGGAGCCCACAAAAACACACCGAGAGTAGTACATCGTACAATAACTATATGGAACACACATATGTAAGCAAGGAAAGAGGTTTGATTAGGGTACTCTTCTTAAATACACCTTATTTGTAAACAAATATGAGATTACGAGTCAACAATTCTTCGTAGAGGTGGTATTTTAAAATATCAAACAAATTAGTTTTGTTAAGATGCAATCACTGTCATGAGCTTTTCATAAGCAGTGTTTTACAACTTCAGCTCCCATTTAATTTTCTCTCCATACGAGTTGCTTGAATTTAGTACACAAAATAAAGCAAAATGATGAAAAGTGCACAAATCACGCTAAATTTCTATTTCATGCGAAAAAAAAAAAAGCAAAGGAAGAGTATGAAATAGTAGACTCCACAATATTGCATTTGTTCCTTTTTGGAACTCAGATCTCAAGTTCAAATACTTTTTTTAGATATTTCAAGCTTCCAATCGTACTCGTATACCCCCGCGAAATGGCAAAAGCAGACGTGCTTTTGCCATTTCGCTGTCTGAGTACTTTTATCTCTTATAAAAAAATATTAAAATTGAATTGAGAAAACATGCACAATATGGACGACTGTAGAGAAATAAAATCCTGGCAAACAGTGAAACTTAAAAAAAAAAAAAGAAATCTGAAAACGGAGAGTGGGAGCGCTACTGCGTGCTTAAACAAAACATATTCAAACAGTTTTTTTTTTCATGCCGTCTTCAGACACTTTGAAAAGGCAAAACTTCACGAATGAATTTTCAAGTGTCTGTCGTGGCTAATGGGCAAAGCTTGTCTCTCCTTAAAGGCCGGCCACTCAAGTTGCGAAAGACACAGACAGATTCGGAACTAAAAATACTGGAGATAAAAAAAAAAAAGGAATGACTACGCGCTGAAGTATTTTCTATCAACGAGACTTGGCTATACAACTTTCAGAGTGCACCCGAATTCGCACGTGTCCTGATTACTGAAACAAATAAGGCAGCAGAGGATATGTTTAAAAGACTGACATTATGCGCAGGAAAATCAAATTTCGGAATTCCCATAAGTGCTTCTGTACGACGTTCTGAACATTCATTTCATCACCCAATGGTGGTTGTAAGGCGTTCGGTCAGTTGACCGCTTGTAGTAGCGACTCAAGCCTTCTTTTTTATACTATTGAAGTACAGACAAAGGGAGTGCCCAGAGCCTCAGAAAGATGCTTTTAGCACACCAAAAGGACCGGCTAAGTTTATGGCGAAAGTATCGGAAAAACTGTTTGGGATTTCCCACGATGCATTTTCTCATATTATTGACGTTTTTCAGTTCGTTGGTTTGAGATTATTCTTTTCCTTAGGTTACCAAAACTCTTCGATTTTTAGAGCGCAGCCCTTAGGCGTTGCGTTATGGGACGTTTCCCATAATGACGTCACGTATAACGTAACACCTGACCCTGCCCTCCTCCTCCTCCTCAAGAGCTGCGCTCCAATTCGGCTTTACAGAGAATTGAAAACCCGTTTCTTCTTTTTTTTTTTAAGTAATTTTTTGTTTTTTATTTTGCCTCTTTGGTGAGAGATAAGGGGAAACAAAGGATGTAGTAGAGGCGTGACAATGCAGAAAGAGTATACGTCTCGGCAGGTGGGAGAGGTTCCATCGTTGTTGTGGTTTAGCTTTCCCGCTAGTTTCAGTTGTGTTTTCTGGCTTCCCTTCACATCACCGTTAGTCCGTACCAACCACGGAGCCGTGCTTCTGTATGGCAGAAAAATGCGCACCCAACGACAAAACACACACACACATTCACACAAACACACACACACTACTTGATTATCATTTATTACCTATGCTCTTAGTTTCCTGCAGCCCGCATATCAGGATACGCCTACCCAAACATAAAAACAAAGTGCCAAAAATTGAATGCAGGTTCCCTAAACCCCCCCCCCCCCCCCCGCCCCCTGGCCACCGAAAAGAAAAAAAAAAAGAACAACTGTAAAGAATGTTTTTTTTTTTTGGCTTTTAGTGACAGTGAACAAGGTCGTATATATTCTATAATTTTCCTCAAATACCGACGAAAAGATGGCGAAAATGTCGGCCCGAAATCACCCTGCAAAGCTGAGAATTTTGGCAAGAAGAAATTGACTTTCACTTGGAGCGGAACCCAACCCGCGCCCTCTGGCCATCTGGTGGACGATGAAAGAATTGATTCAGTCGCATAGAAAGCGCGAGTTTCGCTCCATTTCAGGGTGAAGTTAATTTACGTAGCATCAGTATATCTGCGCATTTTAGGAATCACATTCCCGTTCTGCCACCGTTTAATCGCAAGGACATCAACAGCTCCAAACGCAAACTGCGACGCTCTGCGTCACTTCCTTCGCGCTGCTCTTATGCGCATGGGAAAAACGAGAGGGTCGCTCCCTGATTTCCCGTACGTAGGGAAAACTCCATAGTTTCCGGCGGGGAAAAAAAAAAAGGGGGCGTGTCAGAACTTGTGACGTCACGGAGTACATCGGCGAAAGGTCTGAAAATCTTTTAGAGGTTGCTCCGGTTTCATGGACGAGAAAAGATTCGTCTTTACACAAAGTAGGAAAGGCTCACTTTTAACGCGTGCCATTCTAGAGTCAGGGGCTCTCAAGGTCATCACAATAGCGTCCCCTAACCTGAAAGGCGTCGTTGAGTGAGTGCATTCGCATCCTCTCCCGCTCGTTACTCTCCAACCGGCGTAGATTCCTTTCCCGCGCAGAGAGGGCGCTGCGACGTCTCCGTCCTCCTCCCCCTCCTCCCCCGGGAGCGTTGCCAGACGACGGGGGCGGGGGCCGTCTCCTGGCGCCATCTGTCGTCGCCCCCGGTGACAACTGCTGCGCGGGAGGCGGCGGCGTCGGCGGTGGCGTGCCGCCGTTCGCCGCCGCCGCAGTGGTTCCGGCGCTGGAGTCGCGGGACTTTGGATGCCCGTGGTCGTCGGACGACACGCTGTCGTGACTGTTGAGGTCGACGGTGGCGGCGTTGTTGGCAACGTTGATGGCACTGGCATCGTTGTTGGTCGTGCTGTTGGACAGGCGGGGTCGCTTCCGTTCGGGCTGGCGCGCCTCTCCGGGCCAATCCTCGGCGCCCAGCGGGTCCTCTTCGTGGGCCGCCGTGTCCTCGCCTCGAGACCTCACCATGCCCTGCAAAAAGAAAAAAGAAAATAAAGTAAATTACACTGATTATACGACTGAAGTCCGAATTACCCAGACTTCAGGGGCTCTTAAAGTGAGAAGTTAGAAAATTTTCCCGCTATGTTTAGAGGACTGTAGTCACATGACACCAAACCCCGTGATCACGTCAAGCGACACCATATCCAACAGTTAAGTTACGTGGTCACGTGACAGCGTTGCGTTAAGCTACACAGTTACACTATCTGTCACGGGACACCGCAACATCGGGTAACCCTCGTACACATAGTACAAAAGGCACGGTCAGCAGACGTGACGGCATAATTATGTGCGGACAGGCCTAAAACATGTTCAAAGCGTATATGTCTGAGCTTGTATAAAGAACACTGGCGGAGGTCAGCATTTTTTTCAAAATCAGGGATGTTGCGAACCTGCATCGGAGGGTTCGAGTTCGACTTTTTCGAAACTTTCAATGCAAAGCGTTCGAGAATATGTTATATATCATGCGCATATGTTGATAGTGAGTGCGCGAGCTGAAGCCACCTGGCGAGGAAAGTCACGAGTTAACTAAATCACTGAAATATTCTACACGCTGGCTTTAGTATTGCCTAAAGATTGGTTGTGTTTTGTAAAATTTAAAAACAACCATCATATAGTATTTTTTTCTTCAAAGTTTCGAACTTTTTGTTGGGAGAAAATATAGTGAGGGTGCCGGCGAGCTAGTCAATTTTAACCACGTCGAATTTAACTTGTGACTGGGGTAGAAGAGAATCATCAAAACGTTAACAGGAGAGAAACATCGAGACTTCTACGTTTTGATGTTTCTCTTTGTCCCTTGTCTCAGGTTAATTCAACGTGATATACGTTGTGTTTAGAAGTCGGGCGATTCCATTGTTGAAACGTCAAACTTCGGCGAATTTCGCCATAAGATCGGAAGTACGCCAAACCAACCGAACCTCAGATTAGAAAAATCGTTCGCGACGTCTCTTTTCCACATTGATGCGACCCAGAAAAATGGAAACGAGAATTCTGGATTTGAGGCGAGGACGTGCATGACACCTGTTGTGTCCCGTCTGCGCACGACGCACCAGGCATCGACCAAGATGCACTCCTTTGCACCCTATCCGAAGACTTGCGGGACGCTACAATACTTTCAGAGCTCCGGGAGTGAAGTGATATGGTGCGTCAGAAGTTCGCCCCTAAAGCACAAAGTTATCAAATTCAGCGCTAGCGTTTATTCTCCGTCATGTGAGAATAACATGAATTTGAGTACCAAATTGAATAATTCAGAGAGCACCAAACTGAATAACTGTGACTGAGCTATTAAGTTGAATTTCTGAAGAATGTAATCTGAAAAGAAAAAAAAAGTCTATCGTAATTTAATTACGCGCATAAACGGCATACTTACTGCATGCATACATTTATGGCAATAAATATTAAATACGTTGACAATGAATATGCCACATTAAATGAAGTATCTGTTATACTTCTTAACCGTTTTGTGCAACACTCCTTTTACCCACTACAATAACTTATTTAATATTATTAAAATCAAGCATATATTTATTGACTGCGCCCCGATACCTTCGAAGATAGTAAAAGCCAAGAAATGAAAACGTGTGGAGGTGGCAAGAAAACGAATATACTTTTACGTAGGAAACAAACCTACAGTACCCTTGAGCTTTACTATATATAGCTCGTCGAGTGTATTTCGAAATCATCTTGCTATTCCCAAATATTCTTCAATCAATTTCGAATTCGAAAATAAACATTGTGCTGGCCATTCGTCAGGTGATCGCAGTCTAATGCCCAATTCACACGGCAGCGTAAAGGTACCTTAAGCTTAGGTCCCTTGGCTGAAGGTACCTGGTGTGCGCTAGACCACTCGGCCACCGATCCCCCCTAACTACTTACAGCAGAACGAATATACTGAATACGGTGAGAAGCCGAGGGAGACGAGGAGATGCAAGCGCTCAGGGAGCTCTGATTGGAAGGATTAGTGAGTAGACGCGAAGGCTATGAGGAGCGCAAGTTCGTCTGCTTTTTTTTTTTGCAGGGGTTAAGGTCACGTCAGAAAGACGACGAGCTCTGGTTGGCTCTGATGGGAAAGATAGTGAGTAGACTTCAAGGCAGCTTGCTTTGAGATCTACCCACTGTCCTTCAACCAGAGCCAAACACAGCTCGGCATTCTGACGTCTCCGCGCGCTCTCATGTCCTCCTCTCTCTTAATTTCTCAATAGACTTGTAGAAACATCTAACTTCTTGAACGCACCTGGTCGAAGCGACTTGACATACATGCTTCGAAGCCGGCTTCACATAGAAGGCTGATTCACGCATCTGCGTTTCATTTTAGTCGACCAATTTCCACCCGCTTGCAAACGCATTCGACGAAAGAAGGAACTGGCACATGGGGCACTTCCGATCTAAGTATAGGTTGTCCCAAAGCGGACGTTCCGCTGTAAAACGAGCCGGAAAAATCGGCGCCTGCACATAGAAAACTTCGAATTTCACCCCGAATGTTCTTGCTCAGTTCCAATCTTTCCAAAGTCAAAGTTGGGCGCGTTCGCAGACGACCGAGATATCGACGCTATCTACTCGTGGCGCCATCTTCCGAGAGGCGCAGCGAGCAGACAACATAGTGCGTCGTCTGCTCGCTGCGCCTATCGGGAGATGGCGCCACAAGTTGATAGCGTCGCTAATTCGGTAGTCTGCAAACGCGTCCAACATTGACTTCGGCCATCTTTTTTTTTGCCCTAACGTTTTTCTTTATGGGAAGAGAACTGCGCCTTAAAATTGCGCATGGTAAATCTGGCCTGCTGAGTGCACATTTAGTGAACGCTTGAGCTTTGTTCGTGCAGGCGCCGATTTTTCCGGCTCGTTTTACAGCAGAAGGTCCGCTTGGGACACCCTATATGTCGGTGGTCTCAAACTCATTTGAGTGTGGGGGCCAAATATCCAACACCTGAAATAGCGAGGGCCAACGTAAGATGCGGGGGTGGGGGGGGGGGGGGGGTGGGGGGGGGGAGGGTACACCTCGTGCTTTATGCTTTTTGTAGACAAAGTCTTGCCAGTGACATCTTCAGATCTTATTTGCTTACAAGACTACTTTGGGCCTTGACCTGATATGATAAAAATAAAAATGCACCGCTCCGCCAGCGTGCTGGCATTTTTAATAGAACAAGTACACTGTCCTTCCCATTGCTCAATCAACCCGGGAACTGACCAAGCTCTACATGTCTCTAAAAACAATCAGTTGATATGACAGTTGTTCTTCTGGCGATTTTTACTACAATAGTCGAACAAATACTTGTCTTTTGATAGTGATGTATTCTTGAAGGCGAGAATCCCGAGCTCATAGCTTTATCTTTGCCAGTTTCTCCTGCCGAAAATTCGCGCAGCCGAAATGCATCCTTCAGCGAATAGCTTGCGCTTGCAGCATATAAGCGGAATTATTGTACATTACAAAAAGCTCGGAAGCAAAATATAAGGCGGGACAAAGGGAAATGAACACAAATAGGTATAAACTATGTGAATACGTTAAAAGAGCATGGCCGCTTTTCGAGCGAAAAGAAATCGGCGGGATGAAATCACGATGGCGCATGCCATTTCTAAAGCTCGAACCATTGGGACCGGGACTCGTAGCCGTTTGTTTGTGGGCCGCCTCCCAGCGAGTCGCGGGCCGCATACGGCCCGCGGGCCGCATGTTTGAGACCCTTGCTATATTTAACAAGAGATAGGCTGAAGCTTTGAAGAATTCGCGCGAACAAATCCACGCACTATCTTCGAGAAACGGCCTCTTATACGTTATATAACATTGTCAGAATTATTTCAAACACTCGGTAAAAGAATGATGCCTAGATATATCCCAATCGGAAGCGTTCCAGTGCTACCCGATAGATGGCACTAGTGGGATTACTATCGCCTAACCGTAAGCAGCTATGCGGGCGGCTGCGACGCACTTGATCACACTCAAATGCGAATGTGTTAACCGTCCTTAACGCAAAAGGCGTGTACACGCAACAGGCGAAATCGTACGAATGGAACGAACTGAACGTAACACCTCTGACGCCGACGGAAGAGAGAGAAGAGAGAAAATGAGATACGAGATATTTGCAAAATCTGGTTCATATGACTCGTGCTTCGAGGCGGAGCTCTGGCTGATCCCTCACGGAAGCGCAGATCGGGAGAACTGTATACTATGAGCACCCGAAGCAACTTATATACGTTCCGGGAAATGAGATTTCTCCGTTTCCTTTTATCCCTCTTGGCTCACATATGCTTCTTTTAGTTGATTCTTGTCCTTTTTCAGTGCGAGCAGGCGTTTGGAACACAAGAGCGCACAAAGGACGAGGAGAAAGGAAAGGAACACACCAGACACACAAGCGCTGACTCGCAACTGAAATATAATGCACAAAGAAAGAAGAAGATGAAAGCATCAGAAAGATTGCTTGTTCGTCTCCCTTGTTTTAGCCCTTTTGTGCGCTGTTATGTTCCAAATGTCGCCGTACGGACTAGCCCAGAACCCCACCCTTCTAGAGAACGGGAGATTTGTTTTTACGTTGAGAACGGTGCACAATTCCGATGACACTTTAGCGTGTCTCAATAGGGAAGTTTAGGGAACCGTTTTTGTACGTCCGATGCGGTACGATGGGCCCTCCGGTACAAACTGCGCATATCAGAGTCTTCTGGGATAGCGCATGCGCAGTGCGTACCGGAGGGCCCATCGTACCGTGTCGGGTGTGAAAACCATAGAGTTATTACGTTAAACGCTAGAGGCTCAGGTGGCGCTAGTGTGCTGTTTCATTTTGAAGCAGACAGCAAGCAGTCAGAAATTGACTTCCGGTAATGCGTTCCTATGGGAAAAATCGAGTGCAATTTCTCTCTGCACTCGATTATAAGAGCAAATATCACGAATAATTTATACGTACTAGGCACATTGGAACATTTCTCAGTCACGCAGACGAAATGATTGGTCAGTTACAGCATTTTTATTTGAAATTCGTGGCATGAAA